AACAAAATACCTACATGAGGGATGAAACTGAATAATTACATCTTCAGGGTTAATTCTAGATGAATGCTACATTGACTAGATAGGATCGAACTAAAATATGTAAGTCTATATCTGAAACAAAATGTGTAAACGGATGAGGCGGTTGAAATTCGTCTGCATCGATGCAGTCATGACAAAGCTGATAGTGCAATTCCACACGATTTGTGCGGTCCCATATATTAAGATTCTTAACTTTAATCATAGTGACAGGAATAAGACAAATATGAGTGATAGCATTATTAGTTGCAATGTGAATGATTTATTTAACTTCAGCACTATTGTGCTCAAGAGCCTCAAAATTTCCGCAAAGTTTGGGGAAAGCCCCAAAATAGGGAGAATGGTTTCAATTAATTTAACTTATTATATTCGCATGCAACCACGACGAGTAATCTTTTTTCGCATCTAAATAATAAATCACCTGATATATGTACAGCACACTATGTAAAGCGGGATTATTTAGAAGCGACTAGAAACGTCCTGGCCAACATCCTTTACCAAATATATTCAAATCATGTACGTCACCTATGTCTTTTTAATTGTGATCCGATCTAACAAAACTTATAAAACTTAAAAGAAGAGTTGAGAACACTATTTATACCCATGGGAAGAATTCGCAACAAAACGTATCAATTTCCTGCACTATAATGCAAACTTGTTCTAAAATCATTAATTCCAATAACTGTTGTTGCATTTAAAACCATACAACATCGGCAGTGTGGCGGTTCGCGTCTATTCAAAAAATACTTTGTGTTTTAGGGTAGCATCAAGAGTAGCTTGATTGAGGAGTAGAAAAATAACGAAAGACAGTGAGAGTCGATGACCCAGCAAGCTCACACAATGAACTTACATTTAATAACGGACTATTCGACGATAATCAGAAATAACGCGTTTCTCATAAAAAGGTATTCTTTGGATCGAAACAAGAACCAGATAGTTCAACACGTAACACCAGCCAGACAACCTTTGAGCGGTTCTAGAGCGACCCTTGTAAGACTCAACATAATAGAGTGAGAAGATGGATGTGAATAGGTCTCAAAAGTTAGGATATGAATCTCGAATCAGAGAATAAGGTAAAAAAGATTAGGAAAAAAGTTATTGTTACTAACTGACATCAGATGTGATACAAAGATGCTATTTAGACATATGAATGGATTTTTCGCGAAAATTCAAAATATGTCATCTTTAATTTCAATGATCTGCTCATAAATGATAGTCTTATCTCAAATATTATCGTGACTTTAAGGCGCTACTGAGGACAGCCTCTTACTGAAAATCATGATATGAATTACATTTCACATTCCAAACGGACTACACAGTAATATTTTTGTGAAAAATCTGTTGTATGTTTAGGCGCAAGTGTCAAGATGTTCGGATTAAGAGCCAGAGTTTGAAAATGTTGAAGTTAGAGTACTGGGATGATGAGCTATCAACCACCAGGATTTCGTATTGTAGACTGTATTCAAAATCGTCTAACATTTGTAGTGACCTACGTTTATCGAGAGAACGCGATTGGTGTGATGGAAGCAATTATTATTATAACCAAATATACCACGGATTGTTTTACTGTACTTGTTTATTTAACTGTACCAAAATGCATACATTCTTAAGTTGATTGTGACCTTACACGAATTTGGTTACGCCCAGTAACCGCACTTGTAACCTAGCACGATCTCGGTATTTTTCGATACCACGAGGTTGCCAACGAATACATCTTGACTACAGCCATCAACTGCTTTCTGATATTTAGTTTACGGGAGGTCTTATCGGTTAACCGGCACGTAGTCTTCCTGTAGTGGTGATCATAGTCAACCGCTACTCTATACTACACATCATTTTCGATACACAAGAAAAGGACAGTCAAATCTCGTTCAAAGCTACTCATAATCAAAAGAAACATATCGAAAAATGGGCAGTATATAAAGCTAGACGTAAATAAGTGTTTGTAGTGTTTTAGCGCACGTTTGAGCGTAAACGTAAACCTCAGGATTGAGAACTTTAAAAGAATATATTAGAACTTTAGATTATGTGACATTTTATTTCTTAGTTTATGAATTAATAATCAATATTTCGTGCGAATTGGGGACGAAAAGAATATGTTGTGAAATCATCGGATATTTTTACAATATACTTTTTGGTAGCTTAGTGACAGTTCTTGGTTCATAGACCTGAAACTTTTTCTTGGAATGTAAGTATATTCGTGGGCAGTACCGCCACATTCACCATCAGTAGATGGTGCAAAACATTAAGGAGTGAACTGACATGAAGATCACCACGCTAGACCAAAAGAATGTAGTATGAAAATATCCCCAGAGTTTTTTAAGTCTTCAACACTTGACGCTGGTGGCATTACTAGCTTAAGGTACTTAGTCACTCATCCGCACCAGTTCACGAATAGGTATGCTGTGCCAGGCATCTCTTATAACTGTCATCTAGCATAGAATAAACGCTTCCCGATATGTCGACAGCTTTCCAGCTGTATTTTCAAACCTCTTCATCTCTCACTTTTGATTCAATTACGTTGACATTATTAGGCTGAGGATATGTTACATGTAAAGGCGTTTTGAAGCTAGGAAAACTCGAAACATCTTTAAGACTATGGAAACTCTCCACAGGTATGTATTTACAATGATATTATCAGGTTGTGGTACATGAACGGAAGTAATAAATATTTCGTGACAGGAAAGAGAACTGGAAGAGTATTGTCATAAAAATAGATTTGTTATCCGAAATGCAATTATGCCGTTAATATCCGAGAGTAGCTGGTATTCATGCCGTATACTAATTTTAAGGGTTTATGATAATCTCAGTCTATGCTAGAAATTTTCAGTCTGTAAATCATTTCAGATGATTGCTGCATTTTAGACTGTAAAGCTTCCGTCACTATAGAACTGAAGTATCCGCATAAACCTAAAGCAATGGAAGTGGTGACACTTTGCTTAGGATATGAGAATATATTCTTTCGGGATCGTATGTAGTAAAACTAATTGGTAAGTGGAAACACTATTTGGCGGCGTGATGTCTTTCGTTTTCTCATGCTTCTTCTCTGACAATACCAGAACCTATACTATATAAATAATCAGACTTCTAAGAGCCAATCAAATAACCTGAGCATTGTGGACTAACAATTTGATCAGTATGACATCACTCCTTATATTATAGTGTGGAGCATTTTTTTCTTAAATTCACGTGGAAAATGGATCACAATTTATATTATAGTTATAAACACCACGTTGTATATAACTTCACAGCAAACAGTTGATCGAAGAGAGGGAACCTAACTGTTACTCCGCTTCCCAGTGGTTTCAGTCTACGGCTAAATATGCGGTTGTGACAATGAGACGATATACTGAAAACATGCCAGGCCGGTAACTCAGTTTTTAAAAATTGCTCTAACATATAATTTTCTCAGATTATCAGCCACTGAAAAATCAGAAAATAAGATACATACGTACGTTTAGTCAGCGAAAATCATTGGTATCAAATCTCAGTGAACTCTGTGTGTGTATCAAGTTGTTCACCATTGTGCTTGACAAAACTTAAACAATAGTACGTCTGCAAAGACTACCTTTGAACCGTTTGGCCCTATATTTTGTCTACCAAATTGCAAAGACTAGAAACTACCTTAAATGAACTTTACCGAAAAACATTTTTCAAATTAACGAGACTCAAGAATAGACGGGTTGTAATTCCAAGGGTTAAACTGAGGCTCGGTATAGACTTTTTCTGCAACCAGTTGTAATGCATTCCCGCTTCTGATCGTAACCTATCTATCCTAGCTCCATTTGCATCGCGATCATGTTGGAATGTCTATTATCCGGAAGACGTAGTTTATGCCTATACACGCCTAATGCATTAGACCATCAGTATGCTCGTACAATAAATTACTTAAGTTTCCGTGCGACTAACTTTAACGGTCCCTCAAACTAAGGATTCGGGTGCGTCTTGACCATGTAGCATTTTTCAAGATGTGCGTACAAGTGTTTGGATATTTAGGTATACGTACAGACCACAAATTTCCACAGAGGTGTTCGTTTTAAGCCTCTGAATTCGGTATTGTAGTCTCTGTAGTTGTTTTGCTAGACCCACCTTCCTAATTTTTACACAAGCTGCAACGAACTCGTCTGAAACTATTAACGTTATGCAAAAAACTAGTCTAGCTTCCGAGGGCTGTATAAATTTTAACAGCCTCCCGTAATCTCAAAATAACTAATACGTATACCACACGACATGGACATTCTGTTTATTCAAATGTAAAACTGAGAAACAGACAGTGAGTTATCGATACATACATAGGCAAAAAGCATTTCTAAAAGCAAGTTATCTTTAAAACTTTGCTTGGTTTTTTAATCCAAATGGCATCTTCACGTACTCGGACAATCCGAAAGGCTACAGTGTTATCAATAAATAAAATTTGCGAACACATAGCTATTAACTCTTATACGTTCTTAGAAATCTCTCAGCCTATATTATCCATTTTATTTTGAAGATTTCACTTTATAAGGTTAGATCGTTGTCTGAGCGAATGGTAATAAATTAGATGGGGTTTCTTCCCCAAACTTTATTGTGAAATGTCTGTGTCTAAGTAATGGGAGGTCGTTCTCATACGAAAATTATCTTAAAGATCTTAAATGGTTTTCTACGAGTTCTAGTAAGGGAAATGATATTAAATTTTCCAGTATACATATCGATAAGAATTTATTATCTTAGCATTATGGAGACGTCGAATTAAAAGTGAATAAAAGCTATGGGAATACACTAGGAAAAAGGCGAACTTGACTAAAACTCGCTAACACAGCTAGAAGAGAAGAAGCACTCAAACATCTCTCTATATTATGTGTATAAGTGAATGGAAAAAAACTTCAAAAATCAACGTTCATGAGCTTCAGGTTAGCAAAAATTAGTTAACACACGTTACTTTTAACTATCCTGACATCCACGACCTTACTATTCCAGACCTCACGCCAATCTATTGTTTTAACCGTTGAATACTTACACCGTTGCCATGTTGTTGTAGCGTCATTGCTTTGAAACCAATATGTCTTCTTACAAGGTATTACAAAAATATAGATGCATTTGATATTTAGCCTGGAAATTGTAAGCGAGAAGAGTTCAGGAAGTATTTGGAAAAATCTGGAGTGATCGATGCACTCACAAAGGGTAAAATTTTCAAATTAAATATTTCCACTGTACAGTACTTGTAGGTTTGTATGAAGAGCCAGAAAAACCGGATAATGCTCTAGAGTAAGTTGGAAATTCTTTATGTTCAAGCCTCCAAACACCGTGTAATAAAATGTGTATACATGTGTACTACAGAGTGAACTGACGTTTAGCACGTCATTTTTAAACAGTTACATATTCCCTGTGTTTTTTGAAACTTTCGATAGTTGACTACTACAATATTTTGATGTAAGGGTCATACTTGATGGACTGAACATATAAGTGGGTGTTTAGGGTGTATTGATGGTATTGTTGGAGATTAGAAGGAATGATGGAAAATGTATCTGTACATCGAAATTCATGAAATATGTATTCACGTTTATCAAAACGATATTTCTCAACAAATTTGTGATTTAATCTGAGGCCTGTTATTATTTGTAAAAAAAGTACGAACTGACTGCTTCCATAGACAATATTTCTATCCCACGGATTTGCATTTTATTGAATCGTACCCTCGACATTTAATCTCATCTATTACGACCAATCCTGTCATGCCCTCTATTACTCTGATTTCCCATCAAACAATCCCATCCTGTCATGCTAATTAGACATGTTAATTTGAACAGATGTACGGAGGTGCTAGATTTTACGTTTTTCGACTGACTGACTCTCTTCTTCTGAGAAAGAATTATGTGATCGCTACGTCAAAACAGTATTTTGGTCAGAATGTTCAGTACGGCGAATGCCAGAGATGATATTCTTCGTATTTTTGAAATCTTTTTTAATAATAAACCTGTATGGTGCCCTAATTTTTGTTCTCGTTGCTCGATAATGAATTGATTGGATGAGAGTTTGGATAATAATACCATCAAATGCACATTTAAACTATTTGAATTGTACACTAGTAATAAACGAATTTCAGGGTATAATGGGAATGAGTGGGTAACAGGTTGGACTGAAGCAGTGACAATTTTGAACTGACTTCAAAGTAAGTGTTTTCCATAATTGTAATGGGATTACATTGCTACATTGCTACCATTCAGCTTCTGGTCATTTGATTTGTTGAAACAGAGAGATTGAATACGAAACGAGAATAGCTTCACTGCAAAGCTCTGAGACAGATTTCTAATTATTTTGTAAAAATAGAAGTCTATTAACTTCTTTTAATTTACTGTGGTACTAAGTTTCCGTAGAAATACTGTGACCTCCAAAAATCCAGAACATGTCTGTGTCGAGTAAGGAGACGTCGTGAATCAAGATTTTTTATTTTCAAAATCTCACCCACCAGCCAAAAGTTCATTCCGAAGGGTTTATATATCGCACCACCGTAAACCTAATCTGTAGCCAACTTAGAACCATGGAAAAGCCAAGTACAAACTAAGTGACTCATAACAAAAACTTCATAGCAGAGTACTGGCAAGTGATCGTGGAAAATACGCAAAAATAAAAGCTGTCTTAATCATAGACTCACATAATACTGACTTAAAATCACATGCGGCTCAGAGAGAAAGCTTTTTATACGTGAAAATTTCAGTTCATGCGAGGGTGTTCTGTTTCGAATCAGTAATAGAACGAAGTCTACAAAAGGATCCAACACCTTATTATGATGGAAGGTAATTTAGTGACCAAAGACTTAACTGACTGAAGCGGGAGTAATTTATGAAGTGATCTCAATGATATATTAAATCTAATCACAAGTTCATGTTTATATACTGTTAGTGATTACTTAGTGTTATACACTGCTCAGCCTCATCTATTCGAATCCGTCAGTTAATAAGTGTAATTAAATCACATAAAATCTAGTGTATTAAGATAACATTTTGACTAACTTCTAGGGTTATATAATTCCTCATTATTCAACTTTCTGTCCTTCACTGTGTCGTTTGTCTCACTATTCTTTTATAGCATAAGATGTAGCTGTTTATAAATTTATATCAAATATATAGGTACACTGTCATCATGGTATAAAGCAAGTCACTGACAGGTCCGGTGATGGCATTCCAGTTAATCCGCAGGTAGTCTTATAGGCAAAATAAAATGTGTACGACAAATATGTCTAGCTGGAACTGGTAGGTTAAAAGACTAATGCATTTAAAAACCATAGTGGAATAGATTACAACAGGTTGTTTCAAACAAATCCGGTATAGAGATAAATGCGAACATGTTCTCTTCAGAAAGATTACGAATGAAGAACAAGCAAAAACAGACTGTAAAGGTGAATGAATCATCAGGATAGCAATGAGAAGAGATCTGAGCAAGTGTGAAAACTACAGTGGCATCACACTACCATCAGTGCCAGGAAACGTTTTCAACGAATTGTTGTTGAGCCAAATGGAAGATTCAGTAGACCCCCAACTTCAAGATCAACAGACCGGATTTCGTAAGGATTGGTCGTGCACAGACCAAATCACCACACTACGGATCATTATTAAACAATCAGTTGATTGGAACTCGTCACTATACATCAACTTCCTTAACTATGAGAAAGCGTTTGACAGTGTGAATAGAAGAACCTTCTTCGACACTGTGGAGTGAGTAGCCGAGCAGATCTTCAACATCATACGACGAAGTACACTGTAAAGTTGCGCATGCAAGACAGCTGACAGATGCATTCCAAGTGAGGACCGGTGTCAGACAAGGCTGTTAACTCTCGCCTTTCCTCTTTCTTCAAGTGGTTGACTGGATTATGAAAACCTCCATATCTCAGGGAAGCACGGAATACAATGGACAACTTGGAAGCAACAAGACGATTTAGACCTTGTAAATGACCTAGCTCTTCTTTTATCCCATACACTAACAAATTTAGGTGAAGACAACCAGTGTAGTAACAGCCTCTACAGCAATAGGCTTCAACATACACAAGGGAAAAAGCAAGATCCTGAAATTCAACACGGAGAACACCAACCCAGTCACACTTGATGGAGAAGCACTGGAGGAGGTGGAGACTTTCACGTACCTAAACAGCATCATCGATCAACAAGGAGGATTGGCAAAACGAAGACAGCATTCCTACAACTGAAGAGCATATGGAACTCAATACAACTGTCAATCAACATTAAAGTCACAATCTCCAATACGAACGTCAAGACAGTCCTACTGTACGGAGCTGAAACTCGGAGAACTACTACAACCATAATCAAAAACGTACAAGTATTTATAAACAGTTTTCTACGTAAGGTACTCAATGTCCGTTGACCAGATACCATCAGCAACAGCCCTCTGTGGGAGAGAATAAACCAGCTTCCAAGTGAAGGGGAAACTAGAAAAAGATGTTGCAGTTGGATAGGACATACGTTGAGGAAATCATCAGACTGCATTACGAGGTAAGCGCTAACTTGGAATCCTGAAGGTGAAAGGAAAAGTGGAAGACCAAGGAACACATTGTGTCGGAAAACGAAGGTAGACATCAAAATAACGAACAAGATTTGAGCGAGGAAGAGAGCTGGTTCGAGTTCGCTGTTCGGCTGCGTATGCTCTACAAGGGGTAACAGGTGTCTCTGTGTGTATACACATTAACTTGTTCTACGTTGTGTGGTATAATACTATGTATATTCTACCCTAGTAGGTAACTCCTAATGTTTATACAACAAACGAGCTGTTCAAGTTCCGGAATAATTCCTATGATGGATTAGCCGATTATCTTTTAAATTAGATTTCGTAAACTTAGTCCATTCTGTGATGTTTTAAGGACTTGAAACACGACTAACTTGTCAGTATTGACGAGCTAAATGTTCATTTCTGCTACTGATACGACTGTTTATCGTGACTGTGGAATAATCGATGGCACGAGACTCCTATACTAACGAAAGATAGAAGCAAGACAGTAGCAAACTGCTTTATTCACTAACCATTGATAAGACCACATTCACAACGGTTGTAACATAACGAAGTGCGGAGTCAGCTTAAGCGCAAGCTGACAAGAAGCCTACGCAATTATCGTGAACAGTGGTGGGTAGCGAAAGCAAGGAAGATGAGAAAAGGCAGCGGCATTAGGTAATAGCAGACAATTGTTCAGACTTAAGGAAACCGGTATTAGGAACCTGACTGTTAGCGAAACAATCTCAGAGAAAGATGGACATATTATACATTCTCAATCCAGGAGATTGGATCGATGGGCAGAACACTTTAGGGATCAGTCCAACTGGCCTTCAGCCACACTTCGCTTTCCCACGGATCTCTAGTCAACCTGAATGGCAAGTTAATGTAGGTCCTCCGACTCTTTACGAAGTTGAATCAGTTTGACTAATATAGTGTCTAAAATATTAGCTTCAATAATACTTCGACGCCTAACCAAAGCTCGTGATGAACAGACTAGAGAAAATCAGGCTGGTTTTCGACTTGAACGTGCTTGTATAGACCAGATATTCACACTACGTCAGGTTCTAGAACACAGACACACATTCAGACGCCCCACAATGGTAGTATTTCTCGACCCTCAGGCAGCATTCGACTCTATTGGTCGTGAGGTTCTGTGGCAGTGTTTGTCACTGCAAAAAGTACCAAAGAAGCACATTAACCTTGTAAAGGCTCTCTACTCGAACACAACTGGTTGAGTGAGAGCTTATGGAGAACTGTCACCAGAATTGATTACCTCAAGTGCTGTTCGTCAGGGCTGTTCAATCTTTCCATTCTTGTTTAATTTTTTCGTTGACGTGCTTTTAGACATAACACTTTCCTCACCTAAATTTCCAGGGGCTGAACTTCTACCAGGAGATTCACTTTTTGACCTAGAATATACCGATGACATAGTTCTATTTGGTGAAAACGCTCACAAAATACAGTCTTCTGACCACTATAAGCAACATTGCAAGCATGTTCGGCATGCTACTGTCTCCCTCGAAACGGAAAATGTTGCTTCAGGATTGGGTTGCATCGACACGCAAATCAATTTATGAAGTAGTGAAACTTCATCAGTTGAGATGGCTTGGACATTTTCAGTCAGTCAGCTACAACGTAGGACCACGTACATATATGCATCGGTACAAGTTGCCACACCTCATTAACACAACAAGATGGACACCGGATTCATAAAAGTAGTTAATTCAGAGGTGTTAATACATAAAAGAAAGATTGCAATAAGGATA